TGTGAATGTTTCAACTGACCACCTTGATTAGCATACAATGGCCTGACAGTGCCTGGAGCAAACTTTTGTTGAGAGGTGATTAGATGTCCTTGTTTGTTTCCTCTCTGTTGTTATGCTGTTGTAATTTTAGAGTTTTTTAATACTGGTAGCCAGATTTTGTTCATTTTCATGGTTTCCTCCTTTCTGTTGAAATTGTCCACATGCTTGTGGATTTCAATGGCTTCTCTGTGTAGTCTGACATGGTGGGTGTGAGAGTGGTCCAGCATTTCTGTGTTCTCAAATAATATGCTGTGTCCAGGCTAGTTCATCAGGTGCTCTGCTATGGCTGACTTCTCTGGTTGAAGTAGTCTGCAGTGCCTTTCATGTTCCTTGATTCGTGTTTGGGCGCTGCGTTTGGTGGTCCCTATGTAGACTTGTCCACAGCTGCATGGTATACGGTAGACTCCTGCAGAAGTGAGAGGATCCCTCTTGTCCTTTGCTGAACGTAGCTTTTGTTGGATTTTCTTGGTGGGTCTGTAGATAGTTTGTATGTTGTGTTTCCTCATCAGCTTCCCTATGCGGTCAGTGTTTCCATTGATGTATGGCAAGAACACTTTTCCTCTGGGTGGATCTTCATCTTTACTCTCGTGGCTACTCCATCTTTCTGTTTGTAGAACTCATTGTCCCACTGAAAGTAGCTGGTGGTGAGGCAATGGTGAAACAGAGCTGTGATGTCTTCTGGGAACCTCTGGTCGATTAGTGCAATGGTGTCTGCTACCGGGACCATGGTAAATAGACACACCACATCGAAGCTGATCAGTTTGTCATTGGTATTTAACTTGAGATTGCTGATTTTTTTTCTATGAAGTGGGCTGAGTCCTTGATGTAGTGTGTAGTGAGCCCAATATGGCTTTGTAACTGTGCAGCAAGAAATTTTGCTAAGTTGTACGTGGGGGATCCAATGGCACTCACGATGGGTCTGAGTGGGTCTATATCATTTCATGGGATGTGGAGGGCTCCGTCCCTGAACAGTGGTGAAAGTGTCATAGGATGGGTAAATTTGTCCATGTGATAAAGTCCTTAGGCAACCTTATCCTGGGGTTTTCTTGACAAGATTTGTTCTGAGGAGGCTTGCCATAGCTTTTCACTAAGGCAGACAGAGTGTGACTTACTCAAGGTTACCCAGTGGGTTTCTTTGAAAATAAGTCTGGTCCCCCATAATCCTAGTCCAACACTGAAGTCATTACGCCAAACTAGTTCTCAAAATGTTAGCAATGTTGATGCTTTTTAAACAAGGAACTTAAACTATTTAACCTGTTTGATTGATTTTGCTGGTATGCTGCCCTGAGAGCTTTTGATACAGGTTACAATAAGAATATTTGAAGAAGAAAAAATAAAAAAGAAGTTTCCAGGAATGACCATAAAGAATCCTGTGGCCCCATAAATTCTAGCAAGTCTTATATCATAAACATTAATGGACTCCATTCATCTGATTCAGCATTAGAAATAATCCAGAGGAAATATAGGCTCATGCCAAAGGAAATGTGCTAGTCTTTGAGTTTCTCAAAGACTTTCTGTTGTTTTTGCTGTAACTCGCTAGCAATGGCTTCTCTTCTACCTTCAAAATTATCTCCTGTGATGAGTAATCCAATCAATTACTCCCGTAACAACAAGTCACTAATTGCCTTTTAAAAGTATGGATCCAATCTCTAAAAACTGGGAATACCTGTGGAATGTCTGTACAAGAATAGAAACTTCTGGGAAGTCTCTTGTCCTGTTGCCCATTCTTCTTAGTTGACCTCACTGCTGATATTTTGACTCTAATGCAGAAGACCATAGAATCATATATTTGGAAGAGATCACAAGAGCTATCCAGTCAAAACCCCTGCTATTCAGGAATGCACAATTAAAGTATTTCCGACAGATATCCACCCAGCCTTTGCTTAAAAGTCTCCAGAGGTGACTCGCCCCTACTCTGTGCAAAAAGGGCACAGAGAAATAAGATATCTGAGACAGAATTGGCCAAAGACTATTTCAAGTATGCCAAAACCAATTTGCTCCTCACTACAACATTTGAATGGCCTAGAAACTCTGATTGTGCATTCCTGCATAGCAAGAGGGTGGACTGGATAGCCCCAGTGGTCTCTTCCAACTCCAATTCTATGATTTTATGACATCTCACGGGGCCTTCCTAGACTGCAGAATGGTAAACAAAGTTCCTACAGTGGACAACTGCCTAACAATAGCTTCTAGTAATCACAATTCACAAACCAAAGCCAGGATTAGTTGTGGTGATGAGTGATTCCAGACAAGGCTTTTACTGTGCAGTTACAATGCCTCATTTATAAAAGCTTATGGGAAGGACAGATCTCAGTGTCTTCCATTTGCAGCCCTCCCGTGTTTTCTTCCCTTTGTTTTTCTCCACTTTTTGCCACTAGGGGAGAACATCTGCCAAGAAGAAAAAAGTGGGGTAGCTTCATTGTGCTTTCTAATGGTCCCTTCACCTGACAACACCTAAGCATGGACCAAGATGAGTCCTCAAATGTTGTGAAGCTAGACATCCAATCTCCTTTATGTACTATGGCCAATGGGAAGAACATTGCTTGATCTTTCTTTTCACAAGCACCCAGCAGTGTGGGAAACTCTTTTGTGTGATGCTAACATGGAGCACCTGAAAGAAAAAAGCTTGCCCCACAAACCTCTAGCCAGCATGGCTATTGAAGGCATGTGTGAATAAAGCAACCACATCAAGAAATGTCCTCAACTGACCTAACTCACACAGGTTGGCATCCTGTTGATTTAAATACAGAAAACTTGTATAAGATTATGTATATCTCAAGGAAGTTGTTGGAAATTTATACAGTGCAAATGTTTCAAATCAATGTTGGCAATGTCAAGAGAAGTGTTTGTTGTCCCTTTTGTGGTGTAAGAAGGTGAACAATTATTGGCCTAAGATTTATATGTTATTTCATAAAGTTTTAAATGTAAATTTTTGAATGTAGCTAGAATTATTTTTGCTAGCATTATGGGTAAAAAATTGGAAAATTAAGTATGAATTACTTCTTTAATATGTAATGGCAACAAGAATATTGTTTGCCCAAACCTAGAAATAAACCAAAGCACTGATGATGAAAAAAGAGATTCCTAATGTTAGCTCAGATTCCCAAATTAAGGTGGGTTTTAAAGGATAAGTCAATTGAAGACTTTGTGAAAGACTGGAAAACATTTGTGAGTTTTTTGGGAAACCTGTCAATGTAATAATCTGTGGTTGTGGTTATTGGTAATTTTAGCATGGTTAGGGGTTCTGTAATGGTAGAATAATATAATTTTATTTCTCTATGCATTACAATTAATATTAAATTAATTTATTGATGTTATGTTTAATTTACTGATGATAGGCTTTAATTTCAAATTAGATGTTGATGTTATTTTCATATGCAGGGTTTCTCTGGGATTTTTTTTATCAGTATTTGTCTGTTTTATGAAGGCATTGAATGTCTTCTGTTGTTATGTTGGAATCCACCCTGAGTCCCCTTGGGGAGATAGGGCCGAATACAAATAAAGTATTATTATTATTATTATTACTACTACTACTACTACTGCTGCTACTACTACTACAATAGAGTCTCGCTTATCCCACATAATCGGGCCAGCAGAACATTGGATATGCAGAAATATTGGATAATAAGGAGGGATTAAGGAAAAGCATATTAAATGTCAAATTACATTATTATTTCAGAAATTAAGCACCAAAATATCATGTTTTACAATGAGTCGACAGAAAAAAAACAGTTCAGTACACAGCAATGTTATGTAGTAATTATTGTATTTATGAATTTAGCACCAAAACACTGCAATGTATTGAAACAGCTGTAGATCCAGGTGGGAGGCAGACTGTGTTGGATAATACAGAACGTTGGATGAGCGAAGGTTGGATAAACAAGACTCTACAGTATTAGGACTGAAGTGGGGTCAGAAGGAAGTTATATGACTTCCTTTCTCCCCTTCTTTTCCTCTCTGTTCATTTTTTCTGTTTTTTTGTATTTTCTTTTTGGGTTTATTATTTGAATGTACATTCCTCTGACTCAAATGATTATGATGATGATGTCATCAAAAGCTTTCGTGGTCAGAATAACTGGGTTGCTGTGAGTTTTCCAGGCTGTATGGCCATGTTCCAGAAGCATTCTCTCCTGACATTTTGCCCACATCTATGGCAGGCACCCTCAGAGTTTGTGAGACCTCACAAATTCCGAGGATGCCTGCCATAGATGTGGGTGAAACATCAGGAGAGAATGCTTCTGGAACATGGCCATACAGCCCAGAAAATTCACAGCAACCCAATAATAATAGTAATCCACTGTGCGGAAGACAGTGAAATAGCTCTGGGGGGAAAATAGGATAGAAACACACGCAGAGAATCCAATAAGTCTGAAGCAAAGTAACAAATTAAACTGAAACATCATTTTCATAATTTGATTCCAGCTATGTTGACAATAGTCCAGGCCCTGCTTTCTCCCACAGCTGCCCAGAGGGTCTTTCTTTTGATCTACTGGTCTTCTATTGGAAACCTTCCATTGATTGACATTAGCCAGCCTATGGGAGAATAGAAGGTCTTGTACCAATATACACTATTTCCCTTTACTGCACTGACTATTGTGCTGTCTTTTAAAATAACAATCTCTCCCTTTTTAAACCTGCAGTTGCAGGCTCTTCTTCCCCATAAATTCCCCATAACAAATTAGGTTCTGTTTAAACATTGTCTCCTCTGAGGTTTTGGTCTCTCTCCTTGAATTCAGGTGAGCAAATCCTGACCTGGCATCTCCATCGAATGCTCACTTGTGCTTTACACCCTTCACAGTCTTTCTGTCCTTTCCTGCATCTTCTGGAATGTGATGCTCAATACATCTTAGAACTGTAACCTGGAGACATCCATTCACCTTGAATGGTCTAGAGGACCATGCTGTGGAAAGGAGCAATAAAATGCCCTCTTTCCATGAAGATCCCAAGAAAAAGGAACTCACCCAAGAGAAGTGCACTGGGAAGTTCTTGGGTGGACCACAGCAGCCCTGGTTTTTGCTTCCTCTTGTTCAGTGAGTTCTTCATAACTGGCTGATGAGGACAATGTGCACTTAGCCTCCACTATTTGTCCTGTCCTGGCAATGGATTCAAGCTAGCCACACCAGGTCTCCATTCTCCCCAGTATCCTTTCTCTCCCTTCGATAGTAGGCTGGGGATGCTCCCCTGTACCAGGAAGCAAAGAGTATCGTCCTATTTACAATGATCTGCTTTGTCTGTGGAGTCAATGTCCTTCTTCACTCAGGGGGGTGGGGTGGGGAAGAGAGCCCTCAGCTGATGATACTCCATGGAGGGGAAAGGTGCAGGGAGAAAAGATGCAGGGAGGATGCACACAATCCCCAGGAAGACGTTGCCCCCTCCTCTTCCTCCTCTGAAAGTCACTGCTAAATAGATTTTCCACACCTGGAATAAGGCGGCAAGGCAACGTCTTCTGCTGCTTCTTCAGCGTGTGGATACTGGCACAGGCTGTCACATCTGGGCTCTGCCTGGCCTTTTAAAGCACAGTCTGTCACTCACCAAGAGAATTCTACTGGGTCCTAAGCACCACCCACATAGCATAGGATGCTGTGACCCCAGCTGGGTCACACTCTGGAATCAGACAAGGCAATGGCAGTGGTTTCAAAGTGGCATCTAAGGCATTCCCCGTTCTTCCAGGGAGATAACGGAGCCTGGTTGTTTCCACTGAGATGCATCCAGCCTTAACTGAAAGGGGGGAAGAGAAAGAAAAGGAACATATTTGATTTCTTCTCCCATTCTCTGGGGAAAGCTGAACAGAAAAGGTCCCCTGGGAGCTTGAAAGGCCTGCTTACCAAATTGTATCCAGGGGTTCTGGATACAGTCTGGATACAAAGGCTGAGCATTTTTATAGTATTACTAGTCATGTGTGTATGTGTTTTCCCGATTTTGTACTTTACCAGCACTAAGATATGATTCTGATTACATGTACCATCTCATTTCTGTGCTTTAACTTCATGTTAAATGTACTTATCATTTTGCCTTTTCTTTCTCCCTCTCTCTCCCTTGTTAAGAATTTTCCAAAACAGTAACAGATTAAATGATATAAACTGAAAGATAACAAGAGGGAAGAAAAACAGTAAAAGCAAAAATAATAAAGACAAGTAAGAAAGGAGCTTCTTACTACTTTTTTTTTTTACTATTCTTAATAGTAAACCTCAAAAAGTTTCAGGAATTTAAGTTTGCCCTCCAACCTTTCTAACAATGTTTATACATAAACAGGCAATGTGTGGTTGCCTGTGAAGACTGTTCAGAAGCTTCAATTTGTCCAACGGGTAGCAGCTAGATTACTCACTGGAGCGGGGTACAGGGAGCATACGACCCGCCTGTTATGCCAGCTCCACTGACTGCCAGTCTGCTACCGAGCACAATTCGAAGTGCTGGCTTTAGCTTATAAAGCCCTAAAAGGTTCCAGCTCAGCTTACCTGTCCAAATGTATCTCCCTCTATGAACTCGCTCAGAGATTAAGATCATCTGGTGAGGCCCTGCTTTCAGTTCCATCTCCCTCGCAAGTGTGACTGGTGGTGATGAGAGACAGGGCCTTCTCAGTGGCAGCTCCTTGGCTATGGAACTCCCTCCCCAATGAAATTAGATCAGGGCCCTCCCTCCTGGCCTTCAGAAGAAAAGTAAAAACTTGGCTATGGGACCAAGCCTTTGGGCAGTAAGCAGTACAAGGAATGATCAGGGATTATGTGCAATTGATACGATATTTGGAATGGCCTGGACTACAATTGTTGGATTGTGTGATTTTAATGTCTATATTGATATGTTTTTTAAATCCATGTTTTCATGTTAAATGATGTTGTGAGTTATGATTTAATAGATAATTATATGTTATTGTCGTTATGTTAGGTTTCTGTATGTGACATATTAAATTTTGCCATAATTACGTTGGAAACAACTTTGAACACCCCCCGCCCCCCGGGTGAGAAAAGCTGTATAAGTGAAGTGTGTGTGTGTTTGTGTGTAATATCCAGCTATTTATCATTCATACTTCTATTGCTTTACCAAATCTACTGATGATCAAAGACTCCAGTTAACATGTTACTTTCTTACTTTTTCTCTCTCTCTCTTTCTTTTTCCTCTTTCTTTCTTTTTCTTTTTCTTTCTTTCTTTCCTTCTTCTTCTTCTTCTTCTTCTTCTTCTTTTTGCAAATTGCCAGTTAAAGTTTCTTAGTCTGACATAAATGTTGCCAATGATTTTTCTCAGACCATTGTTATTAATTTGTCCATTTCAGCTAAATCTGTCCATTTCAGCACCCAGTCCTCACTGGTCTTGCTCCATTACTGTAATCTTGCTGCTGTCTTCATTAACTTTTGTGTGCCTTCAAGTAATTTCTGACTTATAGTGACTCAAATCATTCTAGTCAAGTTTTGTTCAGAGAGGGTTTGCCTTTGAGAGAGTGCAACTTGCCCAGTATGTATTAATGGCCAAGTGGAGATTTGAACCATGGTCTTTAAAGTCTCAGTCCAGGACTCACACCACACCACACTGGCCCTACTGTAATAATGTTCCATAGTTATTATCTATTTCATTCCTCACCAATCCAATAGGTACAGTCAGGGTTTCAATTAACATCAGCTTTCACATTTTTGGCATCATCCTATGTATTTGGTTCCATAAATGCATCTCTGCCTATGAACCCACCAGGACTTTGAGATCTTCCGGGGAGACCCTGCTCTCGATCCCACCTGCTTCTCAAGCTCGGCTGGCGGGGACGAGAGATAGGGCCTTCTCGGTGGTGGCTCCTCGGCTGTGGAACGCCCTTCCTACGGACATTAGACTAGCACCATCTCTAATGGTATTCCGCAAAAAGGTGAAGACCTGGCTGTTTGAGCAGGCGTTCGAATAATTAGTGCAATGATTGGTTAATGAACACTGGAATGGATCAATGGATGACGAATCTGAAACATGTTTTTGATGACGAGACGACAGTGAATGGGTATTGTAGTAACTGTTTATTGATTGTGTAATGTGTTAGGTTGTTAACTGTTTCTATACTGTAGCACTGAATTTTTGCTGTTCGTATTTGTTGTGAACCGCTGTGAGTCGCCTTCGGGCTGAGAACAGCGGTATATAAGTAAGGTAAATAAATAAATAAATAAATAATTTCACAAGTCCTACACATTTACAACATACATTTAAAATAGCTTTATACATTTTGGCCATTTTTTATGGTATCAAGTACAAAACAATACATCATCTATCAAAAGATTTTGGTGAGGGGTGATGTATGCCTTCAAATGAGAATCGTCCTTAGCTACAAGGATGGTGAATGGTCTCTTGGACTTCAGCTCCCCAAAGGCCCAGCCAGCATAACAAAAACGATGGAGTTATGGGAGTCATAATTCAAAATAAAAGTTCTCCATTGCAGCAGTGGTGTGTGTTTAAAACACCTCTTATTGTTGTTTAAACAAGGAAAATGGGACCAGATTATCTTTGTGTCTGGGATTATATCCCCCTCGTTCCATGTCACTGCAGAGGTGGGAATAAAACCAGAACCACTATTGAATGGCATTCAGTCCATTCTCCTATTGAACATTGTTTCCAAATGGAAGCTTCTGGGAAGCTCAGCAATGTGGCGTGGTTGTTGGCCCTCTGTTAGATTTTGATTCCCCAGCAACTGATGCTCAGTGCAGTTCTATGATGCTCTATCTGAATCTGGAAGTTCCCTATTGAGATCACAAATAAGAGCCATCTGGGGCAGAAAGCAATAGGAGGAGTGCTGCTTGGAGTTTTGCAAAATATAACTTTAAATATAACAGGTCATCATTAAACTTCATATATTTTTGCCATTGCAAAAATAAAGTGGCATTGGGATACCTCTGAGACATAAGAATGTAGCATTGCAAAGGAGCTGCTCCATCCCCCTTATTAATTTGGTTGTCATTTTGTGCACTTTCCTCAGCTTCAAAATAAATATTTGGGGGTTTTGCCAAGCAAAGAGCTTTGGCGAAGAGACTGGGATCGCGAGTTACTTGCTTCACCTGTTTCCTACATAGGCAGCCAAGTGAAATGGCAGATCCTGAGGCAATAATCTCGGAGAAGCATTCAAATCTGAGCACAGTGAGTAACAATGCAAAAGAGGAAGCAAATCTAAATTAAAGCTTTGACTTACTGCACCCAAAGTGTTTACAGAATAATATACTCTTTTTTTAAATCCAACTTTTACTGAAAGCATCTTCTCCCTTATTCATGTGTTCTAGGATGGAAGTTGGTCTAAGACTTAAGTCATATTGTAGCTATTATAGCATACAGTCATAACTTAGTACCTTTTGGAGCAAAATCCTTTCATTCCTACCACATAAAACAGGGAAATTCCTCTCCTTGTACTTCTCTGGCCCCTTCCGCACTGCTGAATAAAATCCCACATTATCTGCTTTGAACTGGAATATATGACCGTGTGGACTCAGATAATCCAGTTCAAAGCAGATCTCGTGGTATTTTCTGTCTTGATATTCTGGGTTATGTAGCTGTGTGGAAGGGCCCTAAATTGTCATCTCTAAATAAAATAAACTGCACTAGCCACATTTTAAAATGTAGAAAATTTATATCCTCAATGTTTTACATGCTTATGTATATGGTTAGAGTATAAGTAGTAATCATTTGCTATCACTCTTACAAATCTCAAACCATATCAACATTTTATATAGTGAGTGTCAGCAATGTCCTTTCCCAGTTATTGGTTCAACTAAGACTGTTTTTAAATCTTTTGTAGAATAGGTCTAGAGAGAATCTTTGGTCTGTATTTCCTTTCCCTGTTTCCTTCTCTTTTCTATTATCACTTATTTGAATGTAAGACAGTGTTTCCCAGACCTCTGTGTTTGTCTAGTTAATTAAATGTTTGCAAAGCACTCGGCAAGGTTCAAAGAAAGCAGGTGGCAACCCTGCCGTGCTTCCTTCCCATGAGCATGAATGAGCAGAGGTTAAGAAAAAGGAGCTATAGGAGAGAAAGCATCCTGTGTGCAACCACCACCAGGAGGAAGAGGAAGAGGAGGAGATGTGATCGCAGTAGTAGAAGTTTAAAACAGAAGAGGGGAAAAAACACTTTAAAAATAGAATGTTCCATTCCTCCTTTGGATGTTCAAAAAGTATTTTTGTTATTAACTGAATATTTAAGAAAATAATTGGATGTGTTCATACCCTCCATCATTTCACAGATGAATATCGGGACATGTGTGGCTAGGAAAACGTTTTTAGTGAGGAAAAACACAAAATCTAGGAGAGGCTGCAGCAGCATGGTTTTGCATGGGAAGGGCACAATTCTCGCCTCTTCTTTCCTTTTTGCTGAGTTAGCTGAATGCAATCTATTTACAGTTAACTATCACAGTTAACTACATTACAAATTTGGTTTAATGTAGCACTTTTCTATTACTGCCATCAGTTTACCTGGTCCTTTATAGAGTTTGGTGTTTAGCCAGAATACTTGGATATAAATCTGGAAATACTTAGGTAAAAGGATTAGAAAGTTGGAATACTGCCAGAGAGTTTCCACCTACTAGATAAATTCATTGTTAAAAAATCTGGATTGTATTGTCAAACGCTTTTATAGCCAGAATCACTGAGTTGCTGTGAGTTTTCCGGGTTGTATGGCCATGTTCCAGAAGC